TGAAAGTCAATAAAAAAGAAAGCAAGGGATGTACAAGGTAAGATTATACAAAGCTTTCTTAATTACTTCGATAGGATCACACTTCAACTTAATAAGAGATGATCATTTGTAAGCATGCCTTTTGGGACTTCTCTGCAGCAAACTTATGGAGTGAAGATAATTTCAGAACTCTTAAAGGAAAATTTGAATAACCCATGCTGCTCACCAAGCAATAATAACTATTTATTAATATTTTCAAATATTTTGCATTGAACTGCTGCAAAGATATGGATTTTAAAATAAATCAAATCAATTTTTTGAGATAAAAGAAAAAAAAAACATTATATCACAATATCTGACAGGGTCAATAAACTTAACGAAGGAAGAAAATTTTTTAACCTATACAACAAAACATGAATCACCCATTCAAATCAATGAAGCATCAAAATCTAATGGTCAATATTTTCAAATATTTTGCATTCAATTGGTACAGAGATATGGATCAACTTGAATCACCCGTGCTAATTACTAAAGCATCAAGAACACATAATAAGCATCAACATACACAATATGGTTTTGATCATTTGCAAAAGATAGATCAAAGCATTTCACTTTACATATCATTATAAGCAGAACTGAATAAGCAGACGTAGCATAGAAAAATGGATTTCACAACCATTTCTCTAATAATCAATCTCTTGAACTAAAAAATACAGCAAACCTCAAATCCAAAAGTAGCCACTATATTATAGAGCAAACCTAAAATCCAAAAAAAGAAAAATCATCCAGAAAACATAAATCAAGACAACTTTTCTTGCTCTGTTTTAGGTGGAAATGGACCAAATAATGCTTACAGTGAGCGGGAGGCCAAAAAATGCTTACAGTGGACGGGGAAGGTGTTGAGAAGAGAAGGGTTGAAGAAGATTTTTGATCCTCTTACTCCTTGGAGCCTTTCGTCTGAGTCAGGAGGCCAAAAAATGCTTACAATGGACGGGCAAGGTGTTGAGAAGAGAAGGGCTGAAAGAGAGCTTCGATCCTCTTACCTGGAGCCTTTCGTCTGCCAAGGGTACTGCGGTTAGAGAGCTTCGAGAGCAGAGGGTCCTTAGGGTTGCGAGAAAATCACGTATTACCTGGATCCTTTCGTCTTCTTCTCCGCCTTGGACCGCGACCGGAGAGATCGGAGAGGAGAAGAGAGGTTGGGATGGGATCAGGGACGAGGGGCCGGAGAGTAATACGCTCGAACGAAATGCAAAATGCCGGGTCCGAAGCGCGGCCGGGAATAATGAAGGATCCGCGTCGAGAGATTTCGTATTGCGATCTATACACGTGAAACAAACGAATGTTCAGCGTTTTTAAAACGCCCACCGCGCATATAAGCTGCCCCAAACGGGCACTAAATAGTTTGGTTGTCAAAACTGATTTATTCTTAGTTGACCTATGAAAAATGATGCATGTTGGAAATAAAATAACAAAAAAAGCATAATATTTTATTTAGGACAACTTAATTGGATGACTTACAAAACTCAAAATGATAAGTCAAAGCCAAATTAGGAAGATTGAGTAGTTTGGTTGTCAAAGCTGACCTAATCTTAGTTGACCAATGAAAAAAGCTGCACGCTGAAAAGAAAAATAACAGAAGAGAAAAAACGCTTATAATGGGGGAACATTGTTCAGATTTGCAAAATGCATAGAATTTTGGGTTAACAAGATCCTTTTTTTCAATATATATAGATTTAGTAAATCATTTTTAAAATAAGTTGGTCTTGTTTGTATTTCAAAGTTTAAAGTTCAGGTTTTATCTTTAAAATATCTTTGATTTCTGCTACAAGCTCAAACATCTTATTTTGAACCTTTGATTTTTCTCTAGAAAAATTTTATGAAAGATAAGCTTAATAGAAGCTTCCTTAGCTTTGTAGAGTCAGCCATTCCGTTAGCTTTCTTAAGTTCTGTAAAAGTTAATAACCATTTGATGCAACGATAACAGCTGACTGTTGCTTACCCTGAAGCTCCTCATATTTAACAGTCATATGATAACAGTTAGGTACTTAGTGGCTAACATTTGCTTGGCGAAGCAGGGATGTGCGTGATTTTAGGATTTTTCATATTTTCGTGGTAAACATTCAATTCGAAGGCACTTCCAGTTCCCATTGGAAGCCACCTTAAAGTAGGTTCATAAAATATTGTGGTTGCTCCTCATATTATCCTCAATACCATCCTTTTTTACCCGTAGGCTGCTCTTTAAAAAGGTGTTGAAACCTTTTTGTTTGATAGGTTGAACTGTGAGGGGAGCTGGGGAATGAATGGCCTGCCATAGTTACCTTACCGGGCACACTCAGAAATTGGACAAATGTTCAAGAATGCTATTTGAAAATACAATACTAGGCACCAGCAGGAACTAATATTCACTTAAAATGAAACAAATAATGGCAAGGTACCTTTAAATAGAAGGAATGATTTAAATCCTTGTCACTCAAAAGGGTTCTTGGATCTAGAACATAAATTTTACATCTCATATTTGATGAAAGATCCTCAGTTTAGATTCCTAGCAATCCCATTCACTGGCTGAGCAAACGATAGTCAATTTAGAAGTGCTTGAGTTGCTGAGAGAGAGAGAGAGAGAGAGAGAGAGAGAGGTGAGCAGTTGGCAAAAAGGGATTTGAAGGCACATAGGGTGTAGCCCTCTTATAATGTTAGAGAAAAAGAGAAAAACTTGCATGTCTTTATTGAATAAGATTGGAAAAGAGAAACAAATAAAGAAGATTAATATCCCAAACAATATAACATAAAGCATACTTTCAATATAATTACCTGCCATATGTGTCAGCAGCATCTAAAACAACAAAAAGTTAAAACCAGGATTTGAGATCCTGAACAATTCATCTGCTGTCATATCAGCAATTTGTTCCAGGGCATTGATTTGATCTTGGAAAACTGTCCATAGCTGAAATATACCAGCGCATGGTAGCATACTGTGGGAAAAGTTGGGTTTGAACAAGAAGGCAGCTTGAACATGTTATAGAATGGAACATACCGTTTCTTTGATGCTTTGCTGAGGCAAGAAATCATTCAGCGTATACAACCACAATGAATTTTCTATAAAAATTTTAACTGTTAGTGATAAATCTCTATAGCTTTCTTGGACTAACTGTGATAATGCTCAAGAAACATTGTAAAAATAGTATGGAGTATTGATGATTGATTGTGGCGGAGTCCCAAACTCCAGTATGATCTTCTTTCTCTCTCTCTCTCCAAAGCTGAGTTTTCTACTCCAAAAATTGTAACTCCTTTAAACTCAATAACCTGAGAGCAAACACACAAAAACCTCTATTCTTCTCTCCAATGTATCAATAATCTGTCCCAAATAACACCTAGACCTCTAAGTTCATAAAATACCCCTAAGAAAGGAAAATAATAGCAAACAGTCCTATAATAACTAATTAAATATGGAAAAGACTTTACATGTCCTTGAACAACCAATTACTATAGCTTTTCATGAGGAGATTAACTGAATCGATGGCCAATGGTCGAAACAAATTCTTTACTAAAGTTGAACCACTAATCAACTTGACAAATTGAGAGGGTTTTTGGGATTTGCTTAGCTCCATTTGAAAGATAAATTAAAACTTTGCCGAGAAAATCAATTTTGAAATAAACTATGGTAGTTTTAAGGAGCATAGCTTCCTTGGTTGAATGAAATCTCAATATATACATCCAAAATCTCCATTAGCTTTTTCAAAGTAGGGTTGTCCAAGTCTACTGTCATTGTAGATTGAACGTGAGCATGACTGGATAAGGTAGAATCCGGCTATCTCTTAGGTAATTAATGAAAAATATCACAATGTATATTCTCTTACAGTAGTATTGTATTGTTGAGCATACGTGATGAAGATGTAAATATAATTCTTCCTCAATTAAAAATAATGAAAGAATAGGCTTATAGATCAAAGTATCTCATTCCCTTTGAGGAATTGAGACATAGAAGGAGCATAAATATTGGAGTTCGGAGAACATTGAGCTCGAGATAGTTAGTATGTTAATAATTGGAGGAAGTGGGATAATTAAGCTACTATTGATATGGCCATCTTAGAGCTATTAATTTTTTTGAGAGATGAATTGAGACGCCAAATAACATTCTGATATATTAAGCTTATTTCCAGCTGGCACACTTGACTTCATTTTGTTATATATAAAGTGAGAGGTGCAGTTTGTAGCTTCTCCTTTCTCCAGGTTTAGTACTAGGACTAGCAAAACCCTAACTAGATATCCTAGAGAAATTTTTGGGAGGTAATAGTTTTTGCTTACAATAAATTAATAATGAGTGGACGGGATGAATTAGATAGTGTTCTTTCATGCCTTAAAATTTTGAAGATAGACTTTTTGAAACTGAAATTGAGCCTTCTTGGAGGTTTTGCAAGGTTTAAATTTTATCAAATTCACCAATAACACAAATGACTCGTCTAAAAACATTCAATATTATTGACATTAAACAATCACTAGATTCATTATGGTTAAAAACAAACCTCAATATTATCTTATAAAAAGAATTGAGTAGAAACTTAGAAAGCAATTTAACCACATTCAGAATTATGTGAAGTTCCCCTAGTGACTTCTATATTCATGATGACCGCCAATCACACTCTCAGTATTGGTGATATCTCTATAGAAAGTGTTCCGACTAAAGATGACCATTGCAATGGTGAGGTGTAGTTGGCATTTAGGGTGATTGCAGTGTAGGTTATTGATGTCAGAACCCATTCTAGACTTGAGTCTTGTAAATTGGGGGAATTGCATACCTCAAACTCACCAAGCCATGTCAATTTCTTTTCCTTTATATTTAGTTTTAGATAATCTTCAAATCATGTACTCATATTTGATCATATCACGCTATCCTTGTCTCTTATAGATGAGGTGGATTCTATTCTAATAATACTCATTTTACCTGTGTTTCAAGAAATAATTGGATGTCCTAGAATATTTATAACCTTAGGTTTTCTCTCATTATATCTTTCTGTGATGTGCAGTGATCGTCTTCTTGGGCACCCTATGTCTGTTGATGCATTATTAAAGGTACAAGGAGTACGCCTTTTAATTCTTTGTAAGGATAGTTTAGTTGAATGTTGTTTATGCAGGAAACCTTATAATTCGTCTCTAATATGTTAGCTTGACGAAGATACCCTTATTTCCGGGTCTGAAGATGGAGTTATAAGGTTTGCATTTAGAACTTTGATATGTTATATATTTTAACTTTTTTTTTAGTGGTATTGCACATTTGATTTTTTGCAGGTTGGTTGGTATATTGCCAAATAGAATTATTCAACCCCTTGCTGAACACTCGGAATATCCTATTGAAGGCCTTGGTACATTTATCATATCTTGTATTTTTGCACAAAAATTAATAAGATAGTACAACTAATTACTTTATTTTATTTTAATTTTATTGTCAGCCTTTTCCTATGACCGAAAATTTCTGGGCAGTATATCACATGATCAAATGTTAAAGGTGAGCATAAAAGAAGTTAATTGAGTGTTTACTAACATTCTCAAATTTTATTGAAGGAAATATGATGCTCATTTCTTTGTGGGGGTGTTTTGATCGTGTAAGTTGTGTATCGCTTATAGACACATGATATTACCTGCTTACTACCTTGATGTCAAGACATTGTCCGACATTCAGACAGTTTGTATTACTTCTTATTTTTCTTAAGAAGTATTTTGGTATCTCTGATCCACCCTTAGAACATGACTAATTGTATATCGCTAAAACTGGGTCTCCCAGATATAATTTTTTTTTTGTCTCTAGTATTCCACATCTTCATTCTTTTGACTAATATCTTTCTATTGAAACCGACAAGGTTTCTGCCTTTCATAGTGATTAAAAATTAGATTGGGTTAATTTATTCTAACATGGTTTTAGACGCATGGTTACAGTTTTAAGTTTATGTTGACTTTAGATATGTCTGATTTTTGTCATGCTTTTGTAACATTCTATATTTTTCTTTTGACTTGTTAATGACTAGTTAATCCTGAGATATTGTCCTATATCACTTAGTTAATGACTAGGTTGCTTGAATATTGATTCTATTGTATGCAATGTTGATCCTGCCACATACAAAAATGTATCAACCCTACATATGCTTAAAAAGAGATGAGACACTCAACTAGTTTATTAAATTTAGCCAAATTGGTGTTAGATGTAAAGCCAAGCTGCTTGGGATCCTATGGATAAGAAGAACCATTATTCACCAAGTCTTAACAATTTGTTTCATCATTTTTCAACTTGCTGGTGGCCAGCTTGTTCGAACTATCTATTATAGAGGGCTAGATGGGGCAATATGTCTTTGTTAGAGTTACCTTTAGTCAAACACGATCAACACGAGCCATATAGTAGCTGGCTGAAATGAATCCACAACTCAAATAGATTGATTTTGAGTCCCTCCATGTCTTAAGATGGGCCCTCATCTTAGAACGTGTTATCAACCTCTTCGAATTTTTGATCACTTAGAGTTTGACAATTAATATGGCATAGTTTCTTGAGAAAGTTGATCAGTACATGTGTTAAAGAGTTCATTATGTCTCACAAAATTTGGTTGGCCGAGTTAGACCAATTTATCACGATGAGTCCAATGGAACTTATTGATGAATTTGATCAACATGGCTCAACTAGAGCTATGTTTTTGAGTAGTCGAGATAGAATCTCTTACTGGCCCTAAAGTTCAATTCCATCAATGAATCCTACATCCACTTGGTCTACTATGTGTCTGAGTATTAGAGCAAGTCAGCCACCTAGTTGAGTTTTGGGAAGTGACATGCAAAACGGAAATGAACCCTAGATTTTGGGTGATGGTGAACTTGAAAAGAAGAAAGCAAGAAAGAGATTCAATTTAGTAAGAGTAACAAAGGCCTTAAGTGTTAGATTTGATCGGCCTTTGTGTACTTTTCCACTATTTTCACCAAAGATCTTCTTGAATATCTTGACAACGCTCTAACCCATGCAACACTCCCATCGTTCTCATTTATCTAATGGAGCAATGAAGTATATAAAATAGATTTGGGGTGCGCTTTTGAGAGGAAGAGTCTAGCGGTAGAGATATTGACTCAAGATGGCATTATGAGGTTAAATTGAGCAAGCGACAACCATAATCAAGACGCTTTTTTGGGGAACAATTTTTTTTTTCCTTACAATGACACCATTGCCTACGTATACTCAAATATGGATCAAACTCAACATATTTTCTCTTGATTGTTCTTTTTTATTTTCTTTATTATGCATTTTGCTGGAGAGATCCTCTAGGGAGCAGGATCCTAGGTGAGCCCCTATTTTTTCTTAAAAAATAGGATACTAAAACGTCATTTCAAATGAACTTTTGTATAGAGTTAGGCTCTTTTATGTGGTTATTTGAAAAAATTATCATATATATGTTTTACTTTGTGAAGACGTTAACCCACCTTTCAACAAGCTTCAAGGATTAAAGGATTTTATCTATCACATTTTAATCAGTTGATGTATTATTGCTTCGATTTGTGATTTTAAGGACTTGTGTAGCTAATGTCGGGGATGCTGTATGTGTCCTTTGAGAGTTTGACAAATCTTGGGATCATCCCGGACAACCTAATTAATCCTGAGATATTGTCCTATATCACTTAGTTAATGACTAGATTGCTTGAATATTTATTCTATTGTATGCAAAGTTGATCCTGCCACATACAAAAACGTATCTTCGCTACTTATGTCTAAAATGAGATGAGACACAGATGAATTTATTAAATTTAGCCAAATTAGTGTTAGATGTAAAGCCTAGTTGCTTGGGATCCTATGGATAAGAAGAACCACTATTCAACAAGTGTAGGATTAACATTAACAACTTTGTTTCATGAGAAAGTTGATCAGTACATATGTTAAAAAGTTCATTATGTCTAACAAAATTTTATCGGTCGAGTTAGACTAAGTTATCACGATGAGTCCAATGGAACTTATGGATGAATTTGATCATCATGACCCAACTAGGCCTATGTTTTTTATTAGTCTAGATAGAATCTCTTACTGGCACTAAAGTTCAATTCCATCAATGAATCCTACATCCACTTGGTCTACTATGTGATTGAGTATTAGAGCAAGTCAGCCACCTAGTTGAGTTTTTGAAGTGAAATGCAAGACGGAAATGAAGCCCAAAGTTTAGGTGATGGTTAACTTGCAAAGAAACAAGCAAGAAAGGGATTCAATTTAATAAGAGTAACAAAGGCCTCAAGTGTTAGATTTGATCGCCCTTCTTGTACTCTTCTACTCTTTTCACCAAAGATCTTATTGGGCATCTGTTTAGATGTGTTTCTTAAATGTTGTTTTGGATTGTCCTATTAAGCGATGTAGTGATCGAGCTAATATACTATTCTACTATTAACAAATCCATTTCATTCACCTCAACTGTTTGTCTCTATGCCAATCATTTTTCAACACTCCTAGCTTGTTCCAACAAATTTTCTGAATTCATAGAGATTCAATTTTTTTCACCCGCACTTGCATCATTATTTTGAATTCCTTGCACAAAACAATTTGGCTTCGAAATAAAGATGCATGTACATGAGTTGAGTTTTGTGAAGTCATTTTGGGATCTTTATAGTCCAGAGGATATGATTTTTTTATCAGTAGTACCGCTTTATGCATTGTTGTTTTTCCTACTTAGATTTCTTTTATGAGCCAAGCGCTTTTGGACATGACAAATTTTTGTGTTCTGAAGCTTTTTTTGCCCATTCAGAGATTTTTATATCCCAAAGGTTTACTCGCTCATTTATCATCATTCAACTTTCCAGAACCAATGGTTTTTCTTGCTCATTATATGAGCTTTATGGTCTGAGGCTTTGCTCTTGTATCACGAATTTAATTTCATGACTCAAAAGTCTTTTTTGCTTGGATTACTTCATGCAATGAAGGCAATCAGACATGGCAAATTTTTTACATTAAAAAAAAATGTTTCTTGCTTTCTTAGCTTAATGGCCGTAAAACATACTCCTGTAAGACACTCAAAAAAATTTTCTTTTATGGCCATAAAACGTACTTTTGTATCACAAATTATCTTTTATGCGTTGAATGCTTTTAGATTGGGCAAATTCTTAGGCTTGAGAGCTTTTCTTGTTCTGGGAGCTTTATGACGTCTCTCAAGCTTTATGGCCATGCATGATCATTACATTGCTACATCGAGCTTATGAGGCCCAAAGTCTATGCTTTAGTCTTGCTAAGGTTGGCTCGAGCTTTATGGCCGTCCCCTCAGTGTGAATATTTCCCTCGAGAGGGGAGCTGATTCTGCTGCTGACAGTGAATATATGTCTACATGGCATCTTTCAGTGCTTAGTATAAATATTATGATATTAATAATGGAAATTAAAAAAAAAACAAACTTGTATGTCATGCTTATGTACTACATTTTTTGTTAATATTTTGTTGCTGGTGAAGAAAGGTGTATCTGTTTTTTGTTGGTTTGAGGGGTTTGTTTATGTTATTCTTGAACAATGTTCACTAATTTTGAGTCATTTTTATCTTACCGAGGAAGTGAGAAAACAATCATTCTTTGACGTTTTGTTCTGTTGCTGTTTAATGCTTTTGCTTTGTAGTTATGGGACGTTGAAGAGCTTTTGAATAATCGTCAAAACGAGCCAAACATTCAACAAATTGAAGCAGATAGTGAAGATAGTGATGACATGGACATGGATCTAATTCCCTGCCAGCCTCCAAAAGGTAACTCCAATCTATAACCTTGGAGCTAACTACATGATTTTAGTCAATATTGTCATATTGATTGACCTTTTATGTTGATCAAAAATACTTTTAACTAAGGTGGGAACAAACTGTCGAATGGTAAAATTAAGTTTTCTATTATTCTATTTATATTACAGAGAGTGGAAGATCGACAGATGGATTAAAAAAGGCATTATGGCCATAAAACGTACTTTTGTATCACAAATTATCTTTTATGCGTTGAATGCTTTTAGATTGGGCAAATTCTTAGGCTTGAGAGCTTTTCTTGTTCTGGGAGCTTTATGACGTCTCTCAAGCTTTATGGCCATGCATGATCATTACATTGCTACATCGAGCTTATGAGGCCCAAAGTCTATGCTTTAGTCTTGCTAAGGTTGGCTCGAGCTTTATGGCCGTCCCCTCAGTGTGAATATTTCCCTCGAGAGGGGAGCTGATTCTGCTGCTGACAGTGAATATATGTCTACATGGCATCTTTCAGTGCTTAGTATAAATATTATGATATTAATAATGGAAATTAAAAAAAAAAACAAACTTGTATGTCATGCTTATGTACTACATTTTTTGTTAATATTTTGTTGCTGGTGAAGAAAGGTGTATCTGTTTTTTGTTGGTTTGAGGGGTTTGTTTATGTTATTCTTGAACAATGTTCACTAATTTTGAGTCATTTTTATCTTACCGAGGAAGTGAGAAAACAATCATTCTTTGACGTTTTGTTCTGTTGCTGTTTAATGCTTTTGCTTTGTAGTTATGGGACGTTGAAGAGCTTTTGAATAATCGTCAAAACGAGCCAAACATTCAACAAATTGAAGCAGATAGTGAAGATAGTGATGACATGGACATGGATCTAATTCCCTGCCAGCCTCCAAAAGGTAACTCCAATCTATAACCTTGGAGCTAACTACATGATTTTAGTCAATATTGTCATATTGATTGACCTTTTATGTTGATCAAAAATACTTTTAACTAAGGTGGGAACAAACTGTCGAATGGTAAAATTAAGTTTTCTATTATTCTATTTATATTACAGAGAGTTTAATATCTACATATTTATTAAAAAATGCAAATAAAACAAGCAATTTAATTAACCAAATAGAAATTTACCTTTTTAATTATCTTCTCCCTAACTAATCTTCTAAAAAAAATTTAAACGAACATAATGAGTTATCTTGAATAACTCAACGGATTAATCACATTTTCAAATTACAGTAACTCAAAGAAAAGAAGACAATGTGCATGTTTTTCTTCTAATATTTTCTAGAAAATCAAATAATAATTTATAATATATATTTATTTTATTTGCTAATGAGAAAAATCTAAATCATTTACATGTATTTGCTTTTACTTTTACTTCATATTTTAAACTTACATATCCGTTTAAAAGCACCACCAAATCATAAACCCTAATCAATATTATTCCGCTGCCACAGCGGTTCGTGATCTAAATTACTTGATTATTTAAGGTTGATATGTGCTTACTCGCCTTTAGCCGATATTTTTTTATCGATAAAGTAATTAGCGATCTAAATATTACAATTGTTTGGGGTGTTAGTAAAACATCCATGCATGTGGGTATACCGACGTTCTTTGGCTATACTATAAGAGGGTGAACTCCTCGTAGCATACACACAAGCATTCATATATATACTGACGTTTCCTATCTTGTACCATAAGGGAGTGAACTCTTAGCATGCACATATAAGTATTCATATATATACACTACTTTATTCTTCATATTATACTTTTTTTTTTTTATGAAATATTTTACTTCTATCTACCGATGAATAAATGAAATCTTATTAAATCTATAGGTCGTGAAATAAACTGGTATATGCACTTATACTAGTACTAACATATCATGTTGTCATAAAATCACTTCTTAGGAAAGTTATAATGCAACTCTTTGGACATAATTGTTAATATGCTTGTTTTATACAGAATAATATGAAGAGTCAATTCTAATATAAGTCTCAATGATATATAACATAAACAGTAAAAATTTGAAATCAAAAAATACAATTAAAAATAAGAAATATGACTGTAATTTAGAAATATAATTACTCACCTTGAGTCTTTCACATTCGGTGAAACTTTTCTCGATCTCTAACTCCAAATATTTTTGGATCAAATGTTCTTCGGTTTTAGTTATTGCTATAATTTAATTTTTTTAATAAAATATGAATTCTAAATTAAATACATTAACCTTTAACTTTAATTAACTTGTACCTTTTTTCTTCAAAGTGATTCACTTCTTTATCTACAAACTGAATATTTCTTTCTTCAAGTACATACATACATACATACATACATACATACATACAAGACTCCTCTTTCCCCATTATAATTCGACTTGAAACGGCCTCCATCCTTCTGCCTATAATTTTTTATTAAAATTTTAATAATTAAAAATTTGATGTTATACAATTGAAGTATTTCCTTAATAAAAATTAAAGTAAATTCTAAATTGAATTTAAAACTAGCCCTAATCCTACCTTAATCCATGGTTGCGCTCAATTCTCTCTTAACTCGAATGCGACTCACTTCGATACAAAGAACCACGTGGTTCTTCTTCTCCTTTTTTTCACAAAGAGGAAGCACACGTGTCTTCTTCTTCTCCTCCTCTTCTTTTCGATCACACGAGAGACACACGAATCTTCCTGCATAGAGGTCTACACAGTCTTCTTTTCTTGAACAAGACACTTGTAGCTCTAATTCCTTTGATTCTTCTTCCTCCTTGCTCGGCTAGTGCATGATTGTTCTTTTTTTCAAGGCACATGAGTGTCTCCTTCTCCTCCCATTCTTCTTCACACCGAAGCAGCTTGACGGAGGTTCCTTTCTTCTCGACACTACTCAACGAGCCTCCTTTGCAAAGTTCAAGTTTCTCAAGTGTAGTAATGGCTTCTTCTACTTCCTCTAACCACGTCTTGAAGATTGTAACCCCTCTGCCTTCACACAGAAGCTTTTCTTCTTTTGTGTTCTTCTTCCTCTCTCTCTCTCTCTCTCGCCGTTCGGTTTGAACGAAACAAGAGTAGGAATCCTTGTTTGTTTTCACACAAACGACAGCTCTCTCCTCTAAACGTTGGCATAGGTAAATTATCATCATCATCATTATTTAAACCAAAAATAAATAAATAAAGCTGGTTATTAAATAAAGCTAGTTATTACAGCTATACTTTTTCATTTTGACGTTAGAGTGGTCTTTTTTTACTACATTATTTGTAATATAAATCATACTTCGTGAAATACAATAAAATAATGTAATCACATTTAATAAGTAGAAAGTATGGTGTGTGAGTATGTGTGTGTGTGTGTTTACTGGAATTGATTATCTGCCCCACACTTATTCTACTTTACTTGTGTCTTTCATCTTTGACAGGTTCTACGAGGAAGAGAAATGGTTATGGCCAATCTTCGAACCATTCAACCTCAAATTTCTTTGCAGATTTATAGCCGAGTACATATTCCATCAAAGCAAAATAAACTTCTACTTGGCAGAAAACTTCTATATGATTGAATATTTTTCCCTGAGATAGTAGAATAGATTTATATTTTTGCCTGAAATGATTCCAAAATTTTGTTTACCAAATGCTTGCTTTTTTTTCTAGCACTTAGCCATTATTATATTCCTTTAAAAGCATTAAATTTTACTTTTGCATTTTTTTTTAATTACTCTTGAGCTTCCTTTGTAAATTATTGTATTTTAAATGCTATATGAACACATACATATTGCTTTGAATTGAGATAATGACATGAATCAATTTTGACACATACATAGTACTAATTGTTAACTCCTCAAGCTTAAATAAGCACATAACAAGTCTTTATTTCATCCCCACTACCTCCATAACCTTTCCATACCCCAAACACATTTTAATTTATTTCAAATCATTTTTCATAGGTCAACTAAATCCTAATTAAACTCTAATTCCATTTTTTAAAAATAAAGAAAAAATTACATGCATATAACACAAATTTTATGTATTTACAAATCTATCATTTAAAGGTTTATGTTTATATTTATAACACTTTGGTGTTAGACTCGTGCAAGAAATTCTCTATTCTATTTTTTAAAACTAAATTGATATTTTTTTATATAATATTTAAATATTTGAATCTTATGCACTTAAATAAGAATGTATATGTATTAGATATATATATGAAGATGTTAGTACTATGAGGTATGTTTTTAAATATAATAACATATATATCTAATTAGAGAGCCAAATAATCTTATAAACATTTATTTAAATCACTAGAAGGAGCAAATATGTTAGTAGGTGGTATAATTAGTTAAGAAAATAACAAATATTTAAATTATATGATAATAATAATTATTATTTAAAAAAAAAGCAAAAGGAGTGGTTTTCTTTCCACATTATTATTGAAAACAAAAATCAATAAATTTACTTTAAATTAAAATTTATTTAGAGGAGTTAAATATATCTCTGTAATAAATACATGAGAAATAAGAGGTATGTATGTAAATATTTGAAATATATAATTTAATTTTAAGTCCCAATAATGAAGGGGCCCTGTGTGATTGAAGAGAAAATTAATGAAAGAAGGATGAGAGAGAGGGAAGTGGACAAATGAAATTGTCTTATTCCACGTGTGGGTGCGCGTGTAGCACACAACACTACAAATTCTTGGATGTGAGGGGACGCTTACCCTCTCCCATGCCCACGTGCGTGCAATTTAATGCTGCCCACGTGCGAAGAAGACACCCACATGCAATCCTTTGTTCTGTCTTACTCCATTTCTCTATCCCATCCATATTATTTAATACATACGTTTGCATACAATTCATTTATTCATGCATTTTCTATTCTATAATTTAATCAATTTTTTAAAAAATTAAGTATATTATGAAATAATTTACTTAAAATCTATAAATTTAATTATTTCTAGTAATAATATTTAGATATTTGAGTCCTTGTCATTAATGAATAATTTAGCTTCATAGTATTGCATAAATATCCAACTAACACCTAGATGAAAAAAACAGAAAATTGCGGGGGAAGACAGCAAGATTTTTTACTTAAAAATGAAAAAAAATCAACCCATTAGAATAGTGCAGACTTCACGTGAATTAGAGAAGATGAGATTACAAGATGATATTGAAATTGCAACTACAGTGAAATAACCAGATAAAAATATTTTGTCGTCTGAATATAATTATCATGATGAGACTATAATTGTAACTGTTATAGTCTGACTAAATAAACCGACATATTTCATTGAAATTAACTTCTACTTCATTATATAAATTTTTTTTTTTGGAGATAGTGATTTTTAATATTACCATTTTCTTAAAAGGATTTGTGAATAAGTAATTAGTTCATATAAACATATATTTAATTTAAAAGAAACTGAAAACATATAAACATATAACATAGATCTGGTTCAGGAGGACGTGACACATGAAATAATGTACAATAATTGATGACCTTCTCACGTGTAAGTCAATATAAATTTGTCAATTTCATATATATACTTCATATATTTAACCTTCCACTTCAAAAAGCACTGACACATGTAAGGTGCAAAGCATTACACGTGCACGAATGTTAGAGAGATTAAGAGAAATTTACTTGTACGAAATTATAACGTAGTTACTTGCATATCTATATATATATATATATATATATATATGCATGCATGCATGCATGTTTTTCTTATGACATTATGGATGGTGCACTGCATGGAGCCATGCAGATGGATCCACGTGAAGTTCATAATGTGGGTGTACGTAGGACAGCTAGCTGTACAAAGATCAAGTTCCAGCTCATGTGATGGCAAATAATCATTAAAAAAAATGTAAAAATGATAATTTTGGTGATAAGAATTTTAGCTAAGTTTTAAATTATAATGCTATATATTGATGTATGTGTGAAAGATCAACTTCTATAGTAGAAAAATGTTAGAGAAAGGCATTTACATACATACCAACCAAGTCCTATGTATTTACATATCAGGCAACAAAGTTTTACATTTTACATTTATACCACTCAAATATATCACATCACATAAAAATATCATTATTTTAACTTTTAAAATATGAAAATATGTCTGTGTAAAAATTAAAATTCAGGCGTTTGATATGTAAATACATATGAATTGTGTGGTATGTATGTAAATATTTCTAATTTGGAAGGGAAACTATAAGGGTAGAGTGGTAATTTAATGCATGTCAGCTCACTGGTTGCTGATTAATTTGCATTCAAATTTATGAACTTGTTTGGCCATTTTTGTTTTTCCCAGCATTAAATGTGATCAGAGTGCCAGCTGTGCAAAACATAAGTTGTTCTCCGGTTATCGGAGTTAGGGGTGCAAGGGGGCTTGACTTGTTGAGTTTAGCTGGCTCGTTAGCCGTCTCGGGCTTGACTTGTTTACTGACTCACGAGTCTTGTTTATCGAGCTTCGAGTTTGAGCTCGAGCCAAAACTGGGGCTTGACTTGTTTACTGACTCACGAGCCTGATTTATCGAGCTTCGAGTTTGAGCTCGAGCCAAAACTCATGCTCAATTGGCAATTTAAGCTCGAGTTCCAGTTTTATATGACTCGACTCATTGGCTTGCCGACTAGCTCGTTAAATTAACTGGGTCGGGGAGGCCGGTCGAACCAAAGTGATTGGTCGACTAGGTCAGAGGGTTGGTTGGACCAAATTGGCCGGTCAATCAGGCCGGGGCGGCCGGTCGAGAGGTAGGTCAAACCAAGGAGGTCGGTCAACCTGGTCGGGGCATTCGACGATGGAGGCAGGTAACTAAAATTTAACTGTAAACACTGAGCCGCAAGGTCGAACTTGCTGCCGACGAATAATATTATTCGAGCCGCGCGTATCACCAAACATCCACTAAACGCAACAACCAAACACATCACTCGCATTTTCAAAACGGAGAAGCCGGGAAAACGCTGCGCTAAACAGCCTCGTACTTTGCTGAGTTGATTGAGTGTCGAGTTGACCAATCCTGTCGATTAGGTGTCCAGGCATAGATTTAACCAACCAAGTGTCAAGTTGGTCCGTTGAGTTGATTTGTTGAGTACAAGTGCCAAGTTCTGAATGTTGAGTATTTAGACTAAGAATCGAGATGTAATACACCACTTAATGGAATGACATGGCAACTATGAAATATGACATGACATTGTATACTTGCATATATCTCTTTGTGCTTGTTATTTAATTTATGTCCAAATTTGTGCGAACCACAAGTATTCCCAATGTCTCTCATATATTTTCTTTTCATGTAATCCAGCTAACACCAAATATCATAAGACTCGCATCTTTCCTGACACGACTCTTTCATGTCATATCTAATAACTTCACTGCCAATAATAGCACTTTATCATGAAAAGATTGTCTAAAATAAAGACTAAAAATTTAGCAAACAAACTACATATCAAACCTCCTAAAGCTACCTTAAATACTGTTAGTTGAGTCGGTTGCAAACCTTGTAGACATACATATTACATTTATACCCAACTACTTACAGTCGGCACATACATTTCTCACACTATAAAGGGTATATATGTGAGACTGAATTATTGCTCCTAATCCAGACAACATCTACCAAGCATTTAAATACTCCATCAGCACTCCATCTCCTCTCGCACACAGCATTCTGTGACTTCAAAGAGTGTTGCAGATGAGGAGAAGGTCGTCAGTTTGCAGAAGCAGGGGCAGCAATGGATCTAAGAGGAAGAGAGCAGGGACAAGTTTGGTGATCAGGAAGCTGTGGAAGCTGAAGAGAATGGTGCCGGGATGCCGGAGCTCTCGCGCTGACGCGCTTCTTCGAAGAACGGCAGCTTACATATCTTCCCTTGAAGATCAAGTTCTTCTCCTTCAATGCCTCTGCAACCACTTTGGTGTGTAGCTTTCCTCAACTATATATATGTATGGGAATTGATGGTTTTAATATATTGAAGTTGTATATGTTAGTGGAGGATGCAGGAACGATTGGAATTTGTGATCAGCAAATGAAGCACTTTTGAAGAAGAGTTTTTATTCATTTGTTTGTTTGTTTGTCTGTTTGGGAATGGTGAGGTTCGAAGTATAAATATTAAGAAGATTAGTGTAAATTAGTGTTCATAAATTCGGAACTGACAGTTAATGGAGAGCAAAATAAGAATTCAGCCATGATTCCATGAATCAGAGCTCTTTATGAAATAAAAAGGTTCACTTTCTGATAACTAGACTTCTATATTACTATATATATGCAGAGAGAGAGAGAGAGAGCTTAGATGCTGGATGAAATTTATTAGCTAATATGGTGATATGTTCTCATACAAAGCAAAATTCTTAGTTTTGTTGTTCTGATTTGGAAGAATAAGCGATAAGCCCCTAAAGTTCTGATTTTTACAAAGTTCCCTCCTTTTTTTTCACATTATATGGGTTCTGTTTGGTTTGAAGGGATTGAAAATGACAAAAGAAATGAATTCAAATAGCAGAAATTGATAGTTGATGAACAATAAGATTTTTTTTTCTTTCTTTAGAGGAAATACAGAGAAGAAATTAAGAGAATGGAATTAAAAATGATAAAAGGAATTGAATTGAATTTAGCTTAAATCGTTTATACATTTCACATAGCATTATATATTTATGCATCAAATATCTAAATTTTAACATGCATTAAAAATTATATTTCTGTTTAGATTAAATAACTTGTTATATAAATAAATATAAAGATTTAAATTTTAGATATATAAATGCAATAAATCATTGTTTCATTAATTTTCTGATCAAATTTAGCCTAATAAATATTATAATCGTGTGTGTGGGTGCATGGATAATCAATCAAAATCTTGCACCCATCTTAAAGCACATCATATGACTAAAATATTTTTAGTATTTTTAAAAATTAATTAATTAATATAAATTTAAAATAAAAAAATATATATATCATGCAAAAACTACGATACACAAACATATTTTTAAGATAAAAATAAAAAATCAAAATAAAAAAAAAACAAAAAAAAAATGGACCTAAGAAAACCTCAAACTTCTAGCAATTTTCTTTTTTTTAGGCAATTTGCATATGCACCACACAAATCTTTTGTATTTACATATCTAACACTCGAAAGATCACATCAAAAAAAATATCATCACCACAATATATTTTCAAATATGATTTTGAAAACCTGACCAGTCTGCACAGTTCAATCAGTTTGACATTAAAACATTCATGAGTTCGATACACTGAACCGGCTTAAGCCATTTTGAGCCGCCGGTTCAACCATCAAACCAGAATTGTGTTATAAGGGTAAACATAAGGGAGAACTTTGGCTGTTAGATATGCAAGTAAGAATTGTGTGGTGTACATGCATGTACAATCTTCACCCATCGACCCACCCCCTTTGCCATTGAATCATAATTTGTCTCTTCTCCAATAAGAACAGACAAAGATGAGCTTGATGAGACAACAATTATATTTTTTTTAAAAAAAAGAGTGAGCCTATACATCTGTGGCCTCTAAAGAACAGATACAGGGATTTATTGCTGTCAAAATTCTATGAAATTCATTTGAGATTAGTGATTCTTTAGACCCAGTGAGTCAGGACAATGTAATTATAAAATAAGAACTTCAGATTTCAGAAATCATTAGACTTGAACAAATTTTTCAAGCTAACAAAAGCATTTCTTAGTCAAAATAGCATTGGTTTTCAGCACTGAGAGAATCCAACTGGAGACGTGCTCAGTCTGAGCTACTGTCACATCAAACCATGTGTAAAACAAGATCTTCAGATGCCTCCTGGAAGAAAAAGTTATGAGGGCAAGGTGATATTTTTTAAAGGATGACTCTTTGCTTATCAATGTATGAGGTTAAATTTTCACCAGCCAGGATAATATTTATTTTAGCTTAGTGGCTTTATGATTTTATATCATTGATGTGACATTCCAAGGGTCATTCATCCCAAAAATGCTCTCGAACTAACATAGTTAACTTTTTAGTGTTTGATGATATCCTTCGTAATTGCCCAAAACTCACCTATTGAGATATTGTCTGCTTCGGCCTAAAACTACTTTCCTCTTTGATGTAATTTCACTCGTCCTAAGGGTGCTCCCCTACCAGTATGCTTAACTCTAAAATTTCAGATGAAATTTCAGTAGTTGCACCAAAACTGGTCTAGATGTTCAAGAGTTCGGCTTTGTTCTATTAAAAAGGGATTTCACAATGAAACTTGTTTCATAATCTTCTTATCTTATCATTTCTCCACTATTCATTATGTTCTTCAAGGCCTAACTGTATCAATGGAAACTACAATGTTTCAACAATAATAAATCCATTGTTCACAGAGACTGTTTTGCCTCTTCATGTTCTTCATCCCACAAACATTTCAGACAAGTGAACAATAATTGAGCCCCCCCTTACTTATTTTGAGAGAGGCATTAAACAGACCAAAATATATTTTTTATTTTTTTATTAAATATCATGAAATAATTGTAAAATTTTAACAAATTAAAAAAAAAAACACAGTAAAATTTGGTTCGCGTATTGAGTCAAAAACTGCCAAAGCCAACAAGTTTTAGATAATGTTCAACCAAAACTTTGAATATTTAATAATCGGAGAAATAAACATAAATCATCAAATTTAAAATGGTTTTATTTTATAATGAATATTGGAGTCATCATATATATAATTTATGATATTTGAGACTCATTATAACCATAATTTGGTCATAAAACAATATAGATTAAATCTTTTAAACAAAGTACAAAGTAAAGTTTTGATAGTTACATTTCAGACATTCATATTCACCCAAGATGTAAATGAAGAAGACTAGGCTAATCATAGCAAACATCACGTGCCTTGAGATTTGTGCTACATACACTTTCATCATCTAAGATTAAAACATCATGATGTACCAAGACATGTGAGATCAAGGCTTCTTTCATCAGATTTTAGATTATTATATGGTAAGGATGAATTTCTTTCTTTTTTTTTTTTTTTTAGAGTCAAAATAGATACTGAGTTTACATTGGGTCGTTTTAGATCCAGAGTTTAGAGAAGTGTCAAAATAATATCTAAATTTTTTTAAATTCGGGCTGAAATAACCCATTGGAGGATTATTAGAGCTCAACTTTAAAATAATCGGAGACTATTTTAATATTTCTATAACTTTGTGACTAAAACAACCTCACTTTAATCCTTTTTCTTTTTTATTTTTTTCTGAATAAAGTTTAATTTGAGAGAATTGATGGAGAAGCATAGAAAGAGTAAGGAGGATGTACAAATGATTTTTATTGATTTAGAAGAAACTTACGACGAGAGAAATTCTTGGAGAGTTCTAGAAAAGAATGGCATTGATATGACTTATATTCAAGTCATCAAATATCTGTATACTAGAGTCGTTACGTGTGTTCAAACAGGAGAATGATTAACCAAGTATTTTTTTTATTTCAGCAATATTACATCAGGGATAGGCTTTAAGCCTGTATCTTTTTAAGCTTTAGTTATTTACGTTGATGATCTTTCTTGTGAATAAGACTAGAAAAAGAGTTTAAGAAAAAACTTGAATTATAGGTGCTTGCATTAGAATCTAAAGGCCTTCTTTTGAGTAGATCTAAATTTGAATACATAAAATGTAATTTTATTAATAGTAGAACTAGTGGCAGAGTTGTAGCAATGGGTGATTAAATCATTAAACAGAGTGAACGTTTTAGATATCTTGGGCCTATTGTTCAAAGTATGGTGATAAAGATGGAAATGTTATTAGTAGAATTCAAATTGGATGTCTGAAGTGGAGGAATGCATCAGGCCTATTGTGTGCTAGAAAAATACCGCTTAGAGTTAAATATTTTATAACATGGTGGTGATATTTGCAATGCTTTATGGAATAAAATGTTGGTCTATAAAAGAGAAGCATAAAATTAAGTTAAATTTTGTTAAGATGATAATGCTTATGTGGATCGGCGGCTTGATACTTAGAGACAATGTGAAACAAGCAGTATTTCCAAAGGCAGACAGCTGCAATGACAAACAAGATTAAAGGGTTGTTTTAGATGATTTGGTCACATTAAATGTCGTCATCTGACGATCTGATTAGAATACGAGGTATTTTAGATTTGAGTTATGTTAAGAAAGCTAGAGGTAGCCTAAAAAGTCTTGGGCATATTGCATAAGAAATGATCTTAATTTATTAGAATTAAATGAAAATATTACACTCAATAGAGCACAATGGAGAAAACAATGGAGAAAAAGGATTCAATGCAGCCGACCCCAATTAGTAAAATACAGGCTTGTTGTTGCTATTGTTGAATAAATTTGAATTTGAATATAAGTGCACAATATCATTACAGAAAAGATTATCATTTCCTTGCAGAATTTTTTTAAGAAATAGATAAAAAAAAAAAATACTGTTGAAATTACCAATAACCCTGCAAACTATTCTCTTCCTCTCCAAGCATCCCATGTTCAACTGTAGCAAAGACCCAACTACAGTGGCTTGGGTAATGTACCGGGTTCGGCACTGTAGCTGCAGTGCTCAGACTAAAACTTAAACACTGGCCAAATCTTTTCCTCCGCTCCAGCCACAAAATTCTCTGTACAATCCCCCAATTCTGTGTTATTCCCTTCCCCCAACCAAAGCTACAGAGAAAGAGAAAAGTCTCCTATTTGGCGTTTGAAGCACATTAAAGGCAATAAAACAGACTGTTTACTGTACGATACAGATACTCTTCCAGCAGTATTGTTGAAAACCTCAGGATTGCTGATTTCAGTTACCCGGTCATCCAAACAATAAACTTGTTTGTTGTCATATGTAGGAAGATAGAAATAACAAGCTTTACTGCTGTTCATAGCACGGAAGAGGATAAGATACAAGAGAAAATTCATCTAAAACAAGTAAATTAATTTAGGGTCTATTTGGGACAGCTTCGTTCCAAACTATCATCACAGTTCTTTTTGCGAAATTGCTTTATATCTATTTTCTAGAAATTTTTTTGATGGAAAGTTGTTTTTTGAAACTAGATATGTTAAAGTGTGGTGGTTATAAAAAAATTGTTCATGAAATTTTTGAAAATAATGAATATTTATAATTCACACCTCAACTTCTCTAATAAATTGTTTTCCCCATCATAACTTTACAAGCACCTTTACACAAAAAAGCCGCAGCCCCCCAAAGAGACCCCTAGACTCAGCCTAAGAAGGAAAGCCTACATGACATGAAATTCATTTCTACCTTGCTAAGTAAACTATAGTGCTAAAGTTGAACTAATTTATGTCTTAACACTTACAATTCATAAAAGAGAAAAAGAATCCAACTGTTGGCCTATGGACACACCACACTTCGAAAAACATGAAATCAAACTTACAATGGAAAAAAACTATCTAATTATATCTTCTGAAAGTTAAGCGTGAAATTCTAGAAGCAGTATAACATTCATAAAGCAGTAAATTATAAATTTACAGTGAAATTTGACACACAAGAAAACTGTGCAAATTGGTCACTTCTTCACAAGAAGCCTGTGCAGCACCTGAGTCCCACGCGTCACTCTCCCTGAAAGGAATGATCATAGAACATTGTCAACTAATGTCTTGAAAGAAAACCAAAGCCACTTCTGTTAAACGTAGTGATCAGATATCCAATAAAGCATGTAACAGGTTTTTCAAAAGTAAAACAAGCTAAGATGTTCACCAAAGAAGCAAGAAATGAAATCACAAAATTGAGTTCGTAAAAATACCCAGCAAATATGGACAAAGCCTACCAAAACAAACCGACCAAAAAAAAAAGATGCATACCACACATTCTTAAGTATTTACATAGCTAACTCCTAAATTTTCATTTTTTACATTTATACAACCCAAATCTTTCATATCACATAAAAAATATCACTACTTTAAGTTGAATTTTTTGTATTAGATATGTAAATACACAAGAATAATTGAGTGGTATACATGTTAATCTTCCAAGAAAAAACATAATATTTGTCCAAGCATTTAACTAGTGATGAACAACCCAACAGAATGATAGTCCACAGCAACAAACAAAAAGTATACTAGACTATCTGCAACGACGAAGTGCTAATAAAATCCCAAGTACACACAAACATACTGTTACAAAAGTATCACAGCAGTACAGTGGTTGAGCTTCACTTTAATAATTGATCATTTAATTATATTTTGACTCCCTTGCCATGACAAGTCATTTCTTTGAAAGTAGATTGAAAAGATAGGTTTATATAGCTAATTATCTATTCAATCAGCGAAAAGTAATTGTGGGGAAGCACCATGTAAACCATACTTCAAGTGTTGTTAACAGTGCTCTTCAAAGCACGTTCTAGGAGTGAAGCAAATTGATGTACTACACAATGCTTGCCAGTAAAGTGCAAGCTTGTACAAAGCATGAATCACATGGTGTTTTCCGTGGATCTAGCAAAATCCTTGTTCAAATTTCATGGTTCGGCTTAGTACATGACACAACAATTAGGCATGAATATTTGCCACTTGATGGTTTTTCTCATCATGCTCTTTCGCCATATGAGTTTTCTTATGCACTTCTTATTGGCTCATGTCGCTAGTGCTAGTAAATTTTCACTCACAAACTTTTTCTTTGAACTGATTCTCGATGCTTTGTATTCACACTGTGTCGGTTTTGGCAACTTTCAAACTGCTTTGATTTTCATACTGTGATCACAACTCTGTTTAGCTACAATTTACTTGCTACTTTTAGAAATTTTTATGATGCAAACCTGTTTTTTGCAACCAAGTCTACTAAAATGTGGTAGCTGAAAAAATTTTTTTGATTGATTATTTTTAATTAAAATGTTTATAATACCGACAATAGCTTTTTAAAAAATAACTTATACCCACAACTATTTTCAAAATGCTATTTTCCCCAACCCGCCGTAAACGGACCCTATCTCTCCTTCACACGACCTTCACCTCTTGCTCTCTAGCTAATCACTATATTTCATAAATATTTTTTATTTTTAAGTATCATTTTAGCACTACATAATGTAAATATTTTGTTTTTTTTTCTTTCTGATAGCTAAATAATATTTTTAAATAACATACAATTATTATTAATAAAAAATTATTAGTTAATGTGATTTAAATTTGAATTATTAAATGATTAGTATATGCAAATAATGTGTATACAATATATGTATATAATATAAATTCATGAACACTTTATTTTATAAAACCATCACTTCGCACTTTGCGCATTGTCTAACACGACATTATGTGTCCAATGGCTTTCAACTAAAAAAATCAAGAAAAGCAAAGGAAATAGAGTATGTAATAGAGGAAAGAAAGTATGGTAAGTATACAGTTATATTATATATAAACATATTTAGTATGCATACATATAATAATTGATACTATTCCTTCTTGAGATTTAGTTATAACTTGGGTGTCCTGAGTTCTAATCAAAAGAGAGAAGGAAAAATAAAAGGAGTGAAGTGAGAGAGGAAGAACTAATGAGTCAAAAATCAGAATATGCACAAGTTCAAATATAATGTACCAATTAATTATCTATACCGTTGAAACCATTTCTCTCTCCATATAGCCATGGATAAAAGTGAATCTAATGTTCTCCTTACAAATGCTCTCAAGTATGCCCTTCTCCTCAGTTCCAAACCTGATTTAAATAATACATAACTTGGCTGAACTCCTATTTGTAGACATATTTAAAGCTACTCCTTGCAAACATGTTTATTTTCAATGTTAGATTGTCAAAGTTTTTTTCAAATATATTTAGGATTTGTTTGAGACAACTTTCTGCCTACATTGCATTCAAACCACCACCACAATTCTATTTGGGGACCGATAAAATTGTCATCAAATTTTGTGGAAAGAATAGATTTTTATAATTCCTGTCGCATTTTTCCTAAAAATTATTTTTGATATCACAACTTTACAAACATATTTACTTTTCCAGTCAGATTGTCCAAAATTTTTTGAACCAAGTCAAATAGTTTTCTACTTCATATCAGAAATATTAGGTTTGGATGTTAGGCTAGAACTCATGCATTTGTACATTGTTCTCCTTCTATTTGAGGAGATATCTTATGAATCAAGTAGAATTGGTTTGCTAGATATAAGATATGCTTCTTTCATACAGGAAAGGGTAGTCAGCCCATGCACTCTAGATGGCTGAGGGCTATAACCAAGCTAAGCCGTGCATAGTGCATTATGATTTGGATTTGATTTAATCATTTTATTAGTCGTACAAAATCAATTCAAGCTTGAGCAAAGCTTTCAAATACATGTTCGAACTTATTTGAATTGTTTTATAATCATATTTAGTTTGTTTTTGTTTGCAAAAATTAATCGAATGAGTACTTAATAAGCTAAAATTTTGAAAACCTGCCTGAATTCTTATTTTAACAAATTATTTTTCAAATCTAAATGAATGAGCAATTTAATTAGAATTAGTCCTCACAATTTGAAATTAATTAGGTAAAATAATAATTAGGTCACATGTAATCTTTCCTGCAATTATATAACATAAATAATAATTGACAACTAGGGTCCATTTGGGTTATAGCTTTTTATAAAGATGGTTTAGAATTGTTGGAAAAATAACTTCTGAAAAGCTGTTGTTAGTATTATAATTTTTTTAAAAAAAAGTAAAAAAAGCAGCTTTCTTATTGCTATTACACCAACAGATTGCAAAAAATTATTTCACCATAAAAATTTGTAAGTGGTAAGAATATAGTAGCAAAAAAGAAAAGTAGCGATGGTCTAAAAACAAATTAGTTAAAAAATAACATAAATTGATGCATAATTTAGTTGATTAAAAAATTAAAATATAATATTAACGTCTTAAGAATTATATATTATTAATATCAATTTTTAATTTCAACATTCTGAAAATATAATAAATTAATAAATAATTATATATGTGTGTGTGTGTGTGTGTGTCTAAATTAATTAATGAGATTATGATGTTTTTATAATTAGATGTGTAAACAAGCACATATTAATAAAAAAATAGGTGAATGATTGTTAACCTAATATATTATTGATATTAAATAGAATGAAATATTATAATTAACTATTTTTATAATTTATCACCAAGCTTTATATCAATAATTTAACAAATTTGTTGATGAACAACAAACAAGCTAGTTCATGAAAATAAATAATTGAGTTAAACAATGTTCAAGCTTGGTTTATTTAGTATTCGAATTTTTAAAAAGCAACCTTCACTGCATATTAAATTGAACAAATCTGAATGTGTATTAATCAAGCTGATAATGAGTTGCTCATCAAGTGCATTGGTTCACATACAATCTTAGGCTAGCTTTAGCCCAACCATGTCCATAGTAAGCTCATCTTGTTTATCAAGCATGCTTTGGAAGCCTTCGTGATATTGTAGATATATTTTTATGTGCACTCACTACAACTAGCAAATGAATTTAAAAAAACAAGTAGCAGAATTAAGCTCAAGAATACAAGAAAATTATGATATAAAAACATAAAATGAAAGACTATTTTAGATCACATCACTATTCCACTCCCAACAATTTAATTTTATATTGCAATATCACTCTAATGATGATGATCAGGAATATCCCTCGTTGTTTTGCCTCAATATAATAATGTATCAAATACATAAGCGTGTGGAGGTGTAACCTGTGATCAACACTTAAATATGCAATCACGTTTTGAGAATTTCCAAAAGAACAGATAAATGATATAGGATATGCAACTAATGAAGAACCGACTCAAAAATTCTGAAAATATGATTGGATATGTTTCAGCATTTATAGTTATCAATGTTTAATTTATCTTATAGGATGCTAACTACTTATGCAATGAAATACAAACATGTGTGCAAGGGTGAAGCCAGAAATCTTTTTTAATCGCGGAACAAATTACATTATCTTGAAAAATTGCTCATAAATGCAATCTCTTTTATAAATAAAAATGACTCCAATAGCTAATTATTCTTAATTAATACGTTTTGAGACTCATTCAATATAATTATAAATAACTCATTGTTTCATTCCAAATAATAATGGGTCCATTCACATATGAATCAAACTTCATTTGGTATGCATAGAGAAGTCAAATAATCATTTCCATTTAACAATCATATAACCTTAATATTATAAAAAAGATAGACCGTAGGACTGAGCTTTATAATTCTTTGCATATAAGTACTGAAGGGAAAAAAAAAGAAATGCTTACTTCTAGGAACTTATAAACAACATTGCAAACAAATTGAGTGTTTGACAAGCTACTCATAGATCAGCTTGATCAAAGCTCGTTTATGATTACTTAATTAATTAATCAAACAAGCTTGAATGTTTTTTTAAATACTTGATTATTAAATGAACAAATTTGAACAGTTTTTCGCTCGAATTGTTAATGATCGTGAACAATATTGTTTAAAGCTCGTGAGCATGCTCGATAAAAAATCAATGCTGACTTAAAATTTAATATAAATGAGAATTAAACATATAATTTAATTTATATAAAATATGATTAAAAATTAATTTAAAATTAAATATTAGGCATTATGTTCCTTTTACATAATTAAAAAACCAAAGAAATTTTCAAAATCTATCTCATAATAAGGCATGAAGGTTTTTTTTACATGTTATAATTTTAATTTATAACTATAATCATAATAATCTACCAAGAAGCACAATTTGACCAAAAATAAAGTTAAAATAAATAAATAAAAATTATGTGTAAACAAGAATATTATATTACGCATATTTTTTATCTTCAAGCCTTTATGTTTTAATCCCACATCTGAAAAATATGTATTACTGTTGTTTAAATGGAAAGGCATAACATCAAAAATTGAACATTTCAAATAGTACATGGGCTTTCTAGCTTTAATAGGTAAGATTTTAATTTTTGCTTTTAAAAGGCATTTAAAATATGAAATTAAAATTTGAACTCAGTTAAATTATTTTGATTTGTAATAAAAGCAAGGAGAATCTTTCTTCCCTTCACGCCTGAGTCTCTCCCTTAAGAATTTATTAAAAATAATAAAAAATAAATTTTAGTGGGTTGGGCTAGTGGGGCACAGGCCCCCAGTGCCACCACCATAGCTCCGCCCCTACATGTGTAACATTTTTGAGCATTAAACTATCGTTTTTGTTTGAGTTTGCATGGACGCGTAGCAAGTGAGATGGGTGGCTACATGGGTATGCACATGAATGAATTCACACAGTATCCTTTGTAATCCAATGATATCCTTAATTTTCCTATCATCCATTGTCAAGTAAAGCAAGGCATGTAATAAAATAAGAGCGAAAATAAAGTTAAATACTCCATGCTTGTATCGGTCAAATTCTGGTCCTACAAATAAAAGTTTAAAAAGGTGAAAAGTTGGAAAGAAGCGAGCATATCCTGCTAAGAAAATAATATAAACATCACAGGATATATAATCCCCAATTAGTGGAATTAAGGCTTGTTATTGTTGTTGTATCGTTGCATGTAATTAATGCAAGCCCAAACCACAAGTTGTTTACTATCAAGGGGTCGCTTTCCATATGTCCAAGGTTATGCCAGAAAGATTACCATCTAGGGAGGTCGGTCTTTTGTCCAAATGTGTCACCGTTAATTCCTTCTTTTTTCGAGCAGAGTGAGTGCTCGAATCCAGAACCTTGGAATTCTTCATTTTTCTTCTAACTAATGAGACATGAACTCGAGCATCATTAATTATTTATTTAAGTATTCACTGTATAGGGAAAATAATAAATAAACTTCATTGTTTTCCTTTTGATAGCCATTGCAGCACTCATTTGAGCATTGCCTCTCAAGCTGGTATGTAAATATCAAACAAGCCAAGCATGTCAATCATTTTTTTCAAATAGGAAACTTATGTCAATAATCTAATTGAAGAAGGAAATATGAATAATAAATAGATCACCACTTTATTTTTTTCTTTAATAACATCGATTTATCTCGCATGTTAGTCCAATCATGATGAAAAAAGTTGTGTGCTATGTTAATAGAAACCTTACTGTCATAATATGCTATTATAGGAGTCTTGATGGTTACTTGAAGTTCTTATAGAAAGAGCTAAAGTAATATTAACTCACTAATTCCACCAGCCAAATACCAGAGTTTTGCTTCTACACTTCTTGAGATAATATCTTTTTTTAATTATTATTATTCACCAAATTATTAGACTACCCCATACAAAGGTGCAAGATTCTATATAGATCTTTTGTAAACTATAAAACTTGGACAATCAACATCACTATAGGTCTGTATAACTCTAGATTTCTCCTTCCTTAAGAACCCCTTTTTCAAGGTTTCCTTTTAGGTAATTTGAATATCATTGTAACAACATTCCTGTGTTTTTTGGGAGGGGTGTACACGAGTTGACTCATTATTCCAATAGTAAAAACAATGTTAGCTCTCTTATGAGCTAAATAGAGGAGCTTAACCGCTAGAGACTTACTGACAAGCTCACTAAATTTTATGTTAAAACCTATTGATATGTCAACAGCAAACAGTCTCTTTTACGATAACTAAAACATATTTCTTCAAGAAATTGCAAGGCCATATTTTTTTTTTTAAATTTCCATTCCATATCTTTTTTAAAACCTGCATTCGATAATATATATATATATATATAAAGATGTGCAATTCAATCCTATGCAGGGATCGAACCCCCGACTCGAAGGACTTTAGGGCAGCTGCGGCTTATCTAGCTTATCCAGATAAGCTGCTGATCTGCTGCTGATCCAGATAAACTGTCTGACTGTTTGGTTTGTGCGTTTGAAAAATAGTTGATTCTGGATAAATGATCATACTGTCCCTGTTTTGGATAAACTATTTAGCTGTTTGGTTTGTGTATTTTGATGACAAACCAGCTAGAAAATTTTTAATAAAAAAACATACAATTTGAAAAAAAAAAAATTAATAAAAAATATATCCAATTCAATTTTGAAAAAAAATCTTCAACAAAGGATTAACGACTCATTAATATTCCCTTTTTATAATTTTTTTTCAAAGTATGAATCAACAAAAATTTCAGGGATTCAACTCTACATACAAAGAAGATTCCCACCAAGAAGAGATATGCAAACTTGATGGGAGGGGAGAATGGATTTACCTAGAACGGGATGAATGCCGAAAAATGCCGAAGGAAAGAGCTGGTGGCCGCCTGTGATTAATGTCGAAGAAGCAGGGAGAGGATCTACGTGAAGAGCAGGAGCGAGCGTTAGGAATGTAGTAGAAGCAGGGAGAGAATCGCTGGTTAGGAATGCCAAAGGGAAGGAGCGACTGCAGGAGCGGCTAGGGATTGTGACTGCTTATGCGAAGGGCAGGGAGCCTTATAAGCGGCTAGGGATCCGATGGGAAGGGAAGGAGCGACTGCGGGAGCGGCTAGGGATTGCGACTGCTTATGCGAAGGGCTGGGAGCAGAAGCGGCTAGGGATCGCGAGTTAGGGCTCTCTCCTTGCGGTAATTTGTGATTGCTATGAAAGGGTAGCGGCGTAAATCAGGATTTGGGAGCAGAAGCGGCTAGGGATCGCGAGTTAGGGCTCTCTCTCTGCGGTAATTTGCGATTGCTATGAAAGGGTAGCGGCGTAAATCAGGATTAAACGCAGCGAAGATACGATGCTCTCGGGGGTAATGCCGCTAGCGAAATTCTTCCTAAATTTCAAACAACGTTTTTTAATAAGCTGAACAAAAATTCTAAACAAACAGTAAGGCGTTTTGAAAACGTCGCCCGTTGTTTTAAGCTGTCCCAAACAGGCTCTTATACCAAAAGCCGCAACCAACGAGAATATATATATATATATATATATATATATATCATGAGATACCTATTGTATTTGATTTTTGAACTCTTTCTCATTTTTTCTTCAAGATATAGTACTTACCTTCAAATCATAATCATAATGTCCAATAATAATAATATCATCAACATAAATAACTAATATTGCAGAGTTACTATCCAGTCTATCCTTATGTTTATACAACAAAGTGTAATCTGAGTGAGCCTATTTAATTTTTTGTAAATACACAACTTCAGTAAATCTTTTGAACCAGAATCAAGATGATTGTTTAAACTTGTAAAAAAAAATTTCAATTTGCATACTAAACTCTAAACATGGCTTCCCAAAGTTATTGATCCCTCTACAAAGATCAATGTAGACTTCTCCATTCAAGTCAGCATTCAAGAAATACATTCTTAACATCAAGTTGGTGAAGTGGCCAATCAAAATTGACTTCTATCAAGAGTAGCTAAATAGTGTTCAGCAATATGCGCAAATGTTTTGGAATAATGATCCCATAAATCAGGGTGAATCCTTCTGCTACTAACCAATCTTTATATCTCCAAATGAATCCATCAGATTGATAACTAATGGTGAAGACCCATTTACATAAACAAGGATGACATCCTTTAATTTTTGGATGACTTCAAATATTACGTTTTTACAAGTTTTCATGTGATACAATCTCTCTTTCTCTCCATTTGGAGTTTCTTCTATGTCTTCTAAATTCAATTTCTGCTAAGCTGGAGATTAACTTCTCATTGAAGAGAACAGATGGTCGTATCTCACCATATTTGCAATAGAAGTATGAGAGCAGACGGTCTATATCTTTAACTTAAAGCAATGAGCAATTCTTAGCTAAACACATGAAAGAAGAATTTGCAAGTTTGCCATATCCAAGTAGGATTAACTTCAGAATGTAAATTAGTTTCACTTTGTGAATCTTCCTTCAAAAGTAAACACAAAGTTTAGAGATTTATTATGGGATTGAATGATTATGAAAAGCAGGAATTTCGATAATCTAAACGTCGAAGGGTCTAAGAAGATTAAGATACTCGATAATATTAATGGGTTGGAGAATTTAAAAAATATATATTAAAATTAAAATTTTCACTCTTGCCTGCCTAACACCTAAAACGGAGTTATTTAGAAGGGTATATTTTCAAAAAGGAATATTCATAGATAAAAATGTTTTTTTTTTCATTTCAGGAAAATGACATTTATACCCTTCTTACTTACCCATACCTGAGAAAGGTACATTGGAAAGTTTCAGGATTGAGTTTATTCATATTAAGTTCGTGATTGAAGACAAAAGCAGTGAACCAAATGATCTTAAGAGAGATTTAAAATGCATCTTTTCGCTGGCCAGCTATTAAGTCTCCTTTACCTTAACAAGTCATATTTGAGTTGCTG